GCATTCCTAGTCTCTGATAAAACAGACTTCAAACCATCAAAGATCAAAAGAGACAAAGAAGGCCATTACATAATGGTAAAGGAATCAATTCATCAGAAAGAGCTAACTATCCTAAATATATATGCACCCAATACAGGAGCACCCAGATTCATAAAGCAAGTCCTTAGAGACTTACAAAGAGACTTAGACTCCCATATGATAATAATGGGAGACTTCAACACCCCACTGTCAACATTAGACAGATCAACGAGACAGAAAGTTAACAAGGATATCCAGGAATTGAACTCATCTCTGCAGCAAGCAGACCTAATAGACATCTATAGAACTCTCCACCCCAAATCAACAGAATATACATTCTTCTCAGTACCACATATTTGAAGAATCAAATAGATGCAATAAAAAATGATAAACGGGATATCACCACCGACCCCACAGAAATACAAACTACCATCAGAGAATAAACACCTCTACACAAACAAACTAGAAAACCTAGAAGAAATGGATAATTTCCTGGACACTTATACTCTCCCAAGACTAAACCAGGAAGAAGTTGAATCCCTGAATAGACCAATAGCAGGCTCTGAAATTGAGGCAATAATTAATAGCCTACCAATTAAAAAAAAGTCGAGGACCAGACGAATTCACAGCTGAATTCTACCAGAGGTAAAAGGAGGAGCTGGTACCATTCCTTCTGAAACTATTCTAGTCAATAGAAAAAGAGGGAATCCTCCCTAACTCATTTTATGAGGCCAACATCATCCTGATACCAAAGCCTGGCAGAGACATAACAAAAAAAGAGAATTTTAGACCAATATCCCTGATGAACATCGATGCAAAAATCCTCAAAAAAATACTGGCAAACTGAATACAGCAGCACATCAAAAAGCTTATCCACCATGATCAAGTGGGCTTCATCCTTGGGAGGTAAGACTGGTTCAACATATGCAATTCAATAAATATAATCCAGCATATAAACAGAACCAAAGACAAAAACCACATGATTATCTCAATAGATGCAGAAAAGGCCTTTGACAAAATTCAACAGCCCTTCATGCTAAAAACTCTCAATAAATTCAGTATTGATGGGACATATCTCAAAATAATAAGAGCTATTTATGACAAACCCACAGTCAGTATCATACTGAATGGGCAAAAACTGGAAGCATTCCCTTTGAAAACTGGCACAAGACAGGGATGCCCTCTCTCACCACTCCTATTCAACATAGTGTTGGAACTTCTGATCAGGGCAATCAGGCAGGAAAAGATATAAAGGGTATTTAGTTAGGAAAAGAGGAAGTCAATTGTCCCTGTTTGCAGATGACATGATTGTATATTTAGAAAACCCCATTGTCACAGCCCAAAATCTCCTTAAGCTGATAAGCAACTTCAGCAGTGTCAGGATACAAAATCAATGTGCAATAATCACAAGCATTCTTATACACCAGTCACAGACAAACAAAGAGCCAAATCATGAATGAACTCCCATTCACAATAGCTTCAAGGAGAATAAAATACCTAGGAATCCAACTTACAAGGGATGTAAAGGACCTCTTCAAAGAGAACAACAAACCACTGCTCAGTGAAATAAAAGAGGACACAAACAAATGGAAGAGCATACCATGCTCAGGGATAGGAAGAATCAATATCATGAAAATGGCCATACTGCCCTAGGTAATTTATAGATTCAATGCCATCCCCATTAAGCTACCAATGACTTTCTTCACAGAATTGGAAACAACTACTTTAAAGTTCATATGGAACCAAAAAAGACCCAGCATTGCCAAGACAATCCTAAGCCAAAAGAACAAAGCTGGAGGCATCACGCTGCCTGACTTCAAACTATACTATAAGGCTACAGTACCAAAACAGCATGGTACTGGTACCAAAAAAGAGATATAGACCAATGGAACAGAACAGAGCCCTCAGAAATAATACCACACATCTACAACCGTCTGATCTTTGACAAACCTGACAAAAACAAGAAATGGGGAAAGGATTCCCTATTTAATAAATGGTGCTGGGAAAACTGGCTAGCCATAAGTAGAAAACTGGAACTGGATCCCTTCCTTACAACTTATACAAAAATTAATTCAAGATGGATTAAAGACTTAAATGTTAGACCTAAAACCATAAAAACCCTAGAAGAAAACCTAGGCAATACCATTCTGCACATAGGCATGGGCAAGGACTTCATGACTAAAACACCAAAAGCAATGGTAACAAAAGCCAAGATTGACAAATGGGATCTAATTAAACTAAAGAGCTTCTGCACAGCAAAAGAAACTACCATCAGAGTGAACAGGCAACCTACAGAATGGGAGAAAATTTTTGCAATCTACCCATCTAACAAAGGGCTATTATCCAGAATCTACAAGTAACTTAAACAAATTTACAAGAAAAAAATCAAACAACCCCATCAAAAAGTGGGCAAAGGATATGAACAGACACTTCTCAAAAGACATTTATGCAGTCAACAGACACATGAAAAAATGCTCATAATCACTCACCATCAGAGAAATGCAAATCAAAACCATAATGAGATACCATATCACATGAGTTAGAATGGCAATCATTAAAAAGTCAGGAAACAACCAGGTGCTGGAGAGGATGTGGAGAAATAGGAACACGTTTATACTGTTGGTGGGATTGTAAACTAGTTCAACCATTGTAGAAAACAGTGTGGCAATTCCTCAAGGATCTAGAACTAGAAATACCATTTGACCCAGGCATCCCATTACTGAGTATATACCCAAAGGATTATAAGTCATGCTGCTATAAAGACACATGCACACGTATGTTTATTGCAGCACTATTCACAATAGCAAAGACTTGGAATCAACCCAAATGTCCATCAGTGACAGAATGGATTAAGAAAATGTGGCACATATACACCATGGAATACTATGCAGCCAAAAAAAGGATGAGTTAGTGTCCTTTGTAGGGACATGGATGCAGCTGGAAACCATCATTCTCAGTAAACTATCACAAGGACAAAAAACCAAACACTGCATGTTCTCACTCATAGGTGGGAATTGAACAATGAGAACACTTGGGAAGGGGAACATCACACACCGGGTCCTATTGTGTGGAGGGGGTCGGGGGGAGGGATAGCATTAGGAGATATACCTAATGTAAATGATGAGTTAATGGGTGCAGCACACCAACATGGCACATGTATATATATGTAACAAACCTGCATGTTGTGCACATGTACCCTAGAACTTAAAGTACTAAACATAAGAAAAAGCAAGAAATGATAAAGTATTGCTGTTTTTTTGGGACTCAAGGACCCATCCTCAAACCCTCTATTTTCTGGCCAAACTTTGGGTCAAATGAGGATGTAATGTGTCAGCTTTTAGTTCAATATTTAAATAATAAAATTCGGTTTATCAAGAAGAACTGGACAACGTGCTTTGTTGGAAACAGGGACTTGTCCTCCTTTATCCCTTAAAAACAAGGGAAAATTTCAGTTTAACACCTCAAAAGGGAAAGTGAGACAAGCTAGTCCCCATACCTAAAGACCCTAATGCATGGGATCCCATTGACCATATTCCTCTGCTCAGTACCCCACAACCCTTCCCCCCAGGAAGATGCTGCTGCCATAAATCCCATTCCAGATCCTTCCACTGCTCACATTGTTCCTCCTCCTTACAACCCCGACTCTTGGGAATTATCTCATGAGGCTGTCCTTTACCCCTCCCTAAGAGGACTGTAATGTGAGACAGAGCAATATAAAAAGGATATTCAAAACTTCCCTTGCCCCGGCCACCCAAGAATCAACTTCAACTTTCATTCCCCTTAAGAGAGGTGCCACAGGGAGGAGGAGCCACTGGCTTCATAAATGCTCCCCTCACCAGTTCAGAAGTTTGAAGTTTAAAAAATCTGAAACCACTGTTAGATGACCCTTAGTTAGATGACCCTTATGGAGTGGCAAAATCAAATTGATCAATTTTTAGGACCTCAGCTATACACTTGGGTCGAATTAATGTCCATCCTAGGCATCCTCTTTTTGCGGGAGGAAAGAAGTATGATCGGTAGGGCTGCTATGGTAGTCTGGGAATGTGAACATCTTCCTGGTCAAAGTGTTCCTACCACGGACCAAAAGTTCCCTGCCCAAGACCCCCAGTGGGACAATAACAATGTGGCCCACTGGGAAAATATGCAAGATTTAAGGGAAATAACAAGAATTCGGGAATCAGAATGTCTTCTATTGTTTACAAAATGTGTGTTAGGGGACAAAGGTGACTTAAGTTCTATAACAACTTCCATCTACTCTCTGCCTGTCCTTTAGGATCTCTGGTTCTCAACTGGCTAAAGTGACGTTCCCTAGTCTTTCTCAACAACTCGTGTGTGAACCAGGGAATCCACATAGTATCTGAAATATATAGGTGCTATCATTATCACTACAACTACCCTTAGGCTCAAGGTGACACTACCTCATAGAGAAGACTCTCTTCCTTGAGAAAAGAGAAGACACTGAAAAGGAGCCTCAACAGACTGGCAAACTTCATGCCATGACTGGGAACAGTCTGCTTCCTGCTGCTGCCATAAGCCTAGTACTCTCTCTCCCTTCATGGAAGTGGTAGCTCTGGTCCAGTTTACTGCATACGCATCACACCATCCTAACAAGGCCTTTCCTGAGCATCACCCATCCCTGGCTAGCCACTGTCTCTTACAGTCTTGTCTTCTCCCCTCACTGGCACACACAAAAAAATACCAACTTTATCTACCTGGCTGGGGCTTTCTCCTGTTTGGGGGTTTCCTGTATGTTGCTTCCCTTTTGCTTCAGTCTTTGTCTAAACTGAGCACGTGTTCTCTTTCCATTCCCTGGACCAGATTTTCTTTTCATTAATTGGTAGGTCTCTTCTCTTCCTCCAGGGCATCAGGTGTTTGTACCTATCCGTTCACTTTTCCAATCTCCATCTGCTCACTTTGAAATAAATTGCTTGCTTTTTTCTTATTTATTGAATTATTTGGGTGAGGGGTGAGAAAGAAAAATTCAATAATTTCTATAATCAAATTTTTTTTGTTTTCCATTATGTTTGCCAATGGATTATTGTTATCTGAGTCTTTTTTCTCCTGTAAATAAATAGCATCATCCTGTGAGTCAAAGACATCTTTAATACTAAGCTGCATGAAATGATATTGACAAATGACCTGCCCCTGAGTAGGGCAAATGCATGAGAGCTTTATTATGGACACCAAGAAAGAGGAATGGAATATAGGTCTAAAGTCAAATCAGTGTCAAAGTAAACCAAAGCAACCGATTAAATGGAGGCACTTTGTAGGACCTATATCAATTAATGATTTAAGAAATCTTAAATAAAATGCTCTGAGAATTAAAAATACTTCTTAAAGCATTTCTTCTCTCTCTCCCACAGGCTAGGGAATACTCAATTGGAATTCTGTGGCACGTGTAAAGTAAAAATGGAATGTCCATGAATTATGCACAAAGTTCTTAATTGCACACTGTCACTGGAGCCATTGTCACCCACCACCAAATCTTGTGTCTCCAAAAAAAAAAAAAAGGAAGTTCACATTGTTAGACATGCCATGTCGAATTAAGGTGAGAAATATGCAGAATACCCAGCCCCATAATGGGAAACTGAAGAACTAAAATTGCACATTGAATATGTTGTTCAGACAAAAAAACCCACTAAATTCCCTTTGAATTTTACAGTAATTTACACTGAAAAAATTACGGGCTGGCATTTCAAAGTAACATTTTAGAAGAAGAAAATGGGTACTTTAGAAAAATTTTCTTTCTGCATACACTGTCAGAATAGATTTTTTTTTTTCAGATGGGGAAAATCCCTGTATGCTGGATTCTATCTTTGAAGGTAGAAGAGAAAGGATGGAAAATATCACGTGCCTTAAATACATCTTTCTGTATCTTACCTCCCAATTTTTTTTTCTAGCATGGCCTCAGAAAGATTGATCTTACCACTGCTGAAAACTGAAGATGAGAAGCAGTTTCAGTAAGAACAACAGAGTAAACAAAGCTAAGATAACAACAGTGAATGCCATGAATTCTGAATAGAACATGACATGGATAAACTGATTTGTTCTACTTCATTAAGTTACATTGAAGTTGGAGAAGTTTGCAGAACTTTGGCATACATAGAGGTCACAATAGTATATGTTTTTATCAAACTGAATTCTAACTGTTAGAAGGTAAGACAGTGAATAATGGCAATACTGCAGAGTGGTTAGGAGAATGTGAGCTTTGTGGTCAGACAGAAAACTGCTTCAAATCTCAACCGTGTCATTTAGGAGTTGGGTGCGGGCAAGTTATTTAACCTGGGTCTGGTCTTACTTCTCACATCTGTGTATATCATAGGGTAATTGTTTATTATCTAGTGAGAATTAAAAAAATTTTCAAAATTAAATAAAATGGAAGGATTCAATATGATGCCTGGCAGGCATGTATATATTAAGGTCTCAATAAATGCTATTTGTTTTTATTTATTATTATTACAATAAAAAAGTCATAGTGGAAAAAGCCAAATTCTCATTTTGGTTTAAAACTTTTCCATATTATTATCACTTAATGTTTTAGAGACAAGATCTCCCTCTTTCACTCAGGCTTGGGTGCAGTGGTGAAATCATACATAGCCCACTGCAACCTCAAACTACTGAGCCCAAGGGATCCTACTGCTTAAGCTGGGACTACTGGTGTGTGCCACCGTGTTTGGCTAACGTTTTTTATTTTTTGTAGAGATGGGGGTCTTGCTGTTGCCTAGGATTTATTTCAGTATTTTTTACTATTAATTAATACTATTATTTACTATTAATACTATTACTATTAATACTATTGAGCTTAACAGATGAAAGTTATTCACCATAAACTTTAAAGAACTGTGGAAAAATTATGTTGAAACTTTTTACGTTATCTCAATTCTGCTTCATCCACTTCCCTGGTTATTCATCAGCTTTGAACACTTCTTCTAAAAGTTAAATACTTGTCAGTCCTCCTAATGGCCTCCAAGAAGAGAGATGTCAAGAATTTCATTTGAAGCCTATTTTGGTGTTTAATCCTGCTGAGCCTGTGTCTCTACAATTTAGCATTCAGTGAAAGCAATAAATGGTGATCATCTCATCAAGAAATTGGATCCATTCCTCAAAAACATTCCAGTGATCCATTCCGAAATGCCTATGTGAAATGATTTGTACTCAGAACAGTTGTGTGTGTGCACAAGCATATGCAGCACAGTAAGAATGCCAAGTCTGAATTTTTCAGTGGTCTGAAGTGGAAACTTCTCATAGAGCAGCCATATGTTTGCTAGGATTGCATTAATCTTACCTTTTAGGCAAACAATATAGTGCATTTTGTCTGTTTTACCACATACAACACATACTGAATCCTTTCTTATTCCTGTATCTATGACTATGGAGAGACTTATCTGAAATGCATATCAAGGATTTTTTTTTTTTTAATTAGCTTACTTGGCCAGGCGTGGTGGCTCACTTCTGTAATCCCAGCACTTTGGGAGGCTAAGGCAGGTGGATCACTTGAGGTCAGGAGTTCGAGACCAGCCTGGCCAACATGGTGAAACCCCGTCTCTACTAAAAAAAAGAAAAAAAATTAGCCAGGTATGGTGGCAGGCACTTGTAATCCCATGTACTCAGGAGGCTGAGACATGAGAATCCCTAGAACCTTGGTGGGGGAGGTTGCAGTGAGCCGAAATCCTGACACTGTACTCCAGCCTGGGCTATAGAGTGAGATTCCATCTCAAAATAAATTAATTACAAATAAAATTAGCTTACCTTAAATGAGCATTTCTTATTTTTAAATTCCAGACTCTCAGAGGAGAAAAACCCAGGAGAGGGAAGCTTGGGTCAAGTGTACAATGAGGAGTTCAATAAAGTTGAACATAGGGCTAAAGTTATGTGGTATAAACATGAGTTTCTAGGAGCTTCTTGTTTGTGTTTGCATAGAGTTATTAATAAATTAAAGGGTACTAATGAGCTAGGCTGATACCTTAAAGGATGTCTACTATTCTCCCTTCACATCCAGAAGTTTAAAGAAAATCTCCATGTCTCAGAACATTACAGGAGGTCCAAAGTTTAATTTGCACCCACTTTCACCCCCTCCCCTAAGTCGTCCTCACCATATTTGTGCCTTGGTCTTTTGTCATAATCATTCCTTCTGAAAAGTGTGCTGATATTTCTTATGTGATCTCCTTTCAGAATTAACTGTGATTGTTATGCTGAATCATGTTTCTGCATTCTATTGATCGTATATCTATAAGTGAATATGCTGTTATGCATAACTTTAGTAAGATAGTTATAGTACCTGTAACATTCATAAAGATTATCCCTGGGTCGGCTATTAGAATATTACTCAATATGTTGTGGAAAGTAGATATGCATATGTTAAGTTTTGAGTCACCAGGTGATAACTTTAAACTCATTAAAAGCTAAAACATAATAAAAAGTCAGTGTATGTGTTCATTGGTGGGAGATTAATGTGCCATGGTGGGAGCTATCAAACATTGAAGAAATTTAGTCTCTATCTTGAAATACATACACTGCTTACAGAAATAGAGAAAAGTGGATATATATTTCCTAGAATCGTGAGGATCCTGCATAGGTGTTTCAAACCACAGAATCAGCCAAAACGAACGTAATCATTGTCTATTGCCATGTTTATTATAGTATGAGTTCAAAATTTTCACCCTTAGATTGTTAATTTGCTTAGCACGCTATTTTCCTGGACCATACAAAGGTTCCTGCTGTTTACTTCAATCAGGTCCTTATTTAAGAGGAGCTAGCAGTCAACATGCAGCTTGAACTAGTGACTCTCAAGAGGACCTTCAAAAGGACATCTGTTGCTTATCCCCATTCTACTCAGTTTCCCAAGGGTTCACTGCCCTCCCCTACCTCTCTCACTCTTAGAAAATGATTCTACTTCTAGATCCTTGAGGAATCGCCATACTCTTTTCCATAATGGTTGAACTAGTTTACAATCCCACCAACAGTGTAAAAGTGTTCCTATTTCTCCACATCCTCTCCAGCACCTGTTGTTTCCTGACTTTTTAATGATCGCCATTCTAACTGGTGTGAGATGGTATCTCATTGTGGTTTTGATTTGCATTTCTCTGATGGCCAGTGATGATGAGCATTTTTTCATGTGTCTGTTGGCTGTATGAATGTCTTCTTTTGAGAAATGTCTGTTCATATCCTTTGCCCACTTTTTGATGGGGTTGTTTGTTTTTTTTCTTGTAAATTTGTTTGAGTTCTTTGTAGGTTCTGGATATTAGCCCTTTGTCAGATGAGTAGATTGCAAAAATTTTCTCCCATTCTGTAGGTTGCCTGTTCACTCTGATGGTAGTTTCTTTTGCTGTGCAGAAGCTCTTTAGTTTAATGAGATCCCATTTGTCAATTTTGGCTTTTGCTGCCGTTGCTTTTGGTGTTTTAGACATGAAGTCTTTGCCCATGCCTATGTCCTGAATGGTACTACCTAGGTTTTCCTCTAGGATTTTTATGGTATTAGTCTAACATTTAAGTCTCTAATCCATCTTGAATTAATTTTTGTATAAGGAGTAAGGAAAGGATCCAGTTTCAGCTTTCTACTTATGGCTAGCCAATTTTCCCAGCACCATGTATTAAATAGGGAATCCTTTCCCCATTTCTTGTTTCTCTCAGGTTTGTCAAAGATCAGATGGCTGTAGATGTGTGGTATTATTTCTGAGGACTCTGTTCTGTTCCATTGGTCTATATCTCTGTTTTGGTACCAGTACCATGCTGTTTTGGTTACTGTAGCCTTGTAGTATAGTTTGAAGTCAGGTAGCATGATGCCTCCAGCATTGTTCTTTTGACTTAGGATTGTCTTGGAGATGCGGGCTCTTTTTTGGTTCCATATGAACTTTAAAGCAGTTTTCTCCAATTCTGTGAAGAAACTCATTGGTAGCTTGATGGGGATGGCATTGAATCTATAAATTACCAGATGTACCATATGACCCAGCCATCCCATTACTGGATATATACCCAAAGGATTATAAATTATGCTGCTATAAAGACACATGCACACGTATGTTTATTGCGGCACTATTCACAATAGCAAAGACTTGGAATCAACCCAAATGTCCATCAGTGACAGATTGGATTAAGAAAATGTGGCACATATACACCACGGAATACTATGCAGCCATAAAAAGGATGAGTTTGTGTCCTTTGTAGGGACATGGATGCAGCTGGAAACCATCATTCTTAGCAAACTATCACAAGAACAGAAAACCAAACACCGCATGTTCTCACTCATAGGTGGGAACTGAACAATGAGATCACTTGGACTCAGGAAGGGGAACATCACACACTGGGGCCTATCATGGGGAGGGGGGAAGGGGGAGGGATTGCATTGGGAGTTATACCTGATGTAAATGACGAGTTGATGGGTGCAGCACAGCAACATGGCACAAGTATACATATGTAACAAACCTGCACGTTATGCACATGTACCCTACAACTTAAAGTATAATAATAATAAATTAAAAAAAAAAAAAAAGAAAATGATTCTACTGACAGCCTTTCTAAGATGAAGCTCACCTGACATGGGTTCCATCAGTCTGTTCCTGCTCTCATCACTTCCAATATCTGCTGAGACACCACTCCATCAACTATTCTACCCTTCAACCTCTTTTTCCTTTGCCTAATTACAGGACTATACCCCTTTATTCTAAGAAACACTTCCATTTGACTCCTTATTAATCTTTTTCTCTTCTCAGCCAGACATAAATGTCTATACTTACTGCACTTCCTCACTAAACACAGTTTACTTGAGTCCTTACAATCTGACTTCTACACACACACTACTTTTCATAATTTATTTTTACCAGGTGACTATTAACTGTCATAATTTTCCAGTGCTTTGGGCATATATAAGGTGCATATCAATTTTACAAGAATATTGTTTTAGAACAAAACTTGTTTCTTTCAAGGTGATTTTAAAATGTGTTTGGGATAAAATTATTTAATTACAGTATATTACAGAGCAAAACCCAGTAAGAGATTAGTTTCTACCTAAATAGTCTACTCACATATTAAGTGATTATAAACACAAATAGCTGAAAATAAGTATAATGTAAGCAATAAATATTGGTACTTGGTAGGAATATGACAATTAAATTGAAAGACACCTAGAAGGATTACCATTTTTCTACTGTGTCCATTGCATCCCCTTGGAACCTGCAGCTCTTTTTTCCTACCCACTCTTGAATTTGAACTTACCCACTAACTGTCCCTTCCACCCTCTCAATAAGCTCAAATTACCAAACCAGTGGCTATTAAGCTACAAGAACCATCCCTCTCGTGTGAGAACCAATTTTACCAACTGTTCCTGAAACTTAGTTGAACTTCAGATGCCTTCTTTGCTAAAGATTATAAGAATTCTTCTCTTCCTCCCAAACACATCTTGGCCTTCTGAATAAAGGTTTATGCTTAATGGTGCTTCAGTTTTCTTCCAAAAAATCCAATGGATTTTATGTTATTACATACAGAGTGATGGCAGAGACAGATGAGAAGAAAGGCCCATGATTAGCCCTGGGAACCCCAATATTAAAAAGCAAGGTAGGGAGAAATATGGATAGGAGATTCAGAGAAGTGAAGTGGGAGGGAAACCAAGTTAAAATGGTATTTTATAAGCCTGGAGAGGAAGTAATGTCAAAAAGGAGATAATGGTTTACTCTTACATGCTGCATAGAAGTAAGAGGGGAATAAAGAAATATTCTTTGTGATTTTATTATTCTTTTGAATGTGCACTTGTATTGATGCATCTTCAATCCACAGTAACACTGTACATGGCCAAATTCATTCACTTAGCGTCTTGGAACCATAAAGTGCTAAGCAATGGTAGGAAGTATCTTCTCCAACAACTATAGTTTCTCACTTGCAGCAGCAGAAACAAAGCTTTCAAATTTGCAATCCACAACCTTTGGCCTCAGACTGACAACAGTGATTCTAGGGGTTCAGATGTCCACTGATTTAAATGTAATTTAAAATTTAAATATAATTGTATTCGTAATATTGTATGAAATATTTTTAAATGTTCGTATATGTCACTGTGATTAATGAAGTATACATTTCTAGTAGTTGTGTATTGTATATTTTCTCAATCAAAATAAACTATCATGTATGAGGGGATCCTTATAATGTTGTGACCTTAAATAAGGTTTATATATAATTTTAAAGATACCAAATTCTATTTCTTTTCATTTTACTCTAATACTTGGTTTGGATTCTCAAGAGCATGAAGTATCCACATTTCCCTATGGAAATGGAATGTAATTTATTCTTAAATAATTTTTATGTAATATTTAATACATACAAAAGATAATATATGCCATAGAGATATTTTACTTTTATAAATGGGAAGAATGAAATGTGTGAATCCATTTTGATTCCAACCCATATATGTTAGTTCGTGAAATTTTTGGGGAGGGGCACCTACAAATCTAGATTCCAAGAATTAGACACATTGAACAATAAATTTCATGAATGTTGACCACTTTTGACACTCTAAATTATAAAACAAGTAAATGATTGTAATTTTATGTATCATTGAATTCATTTACTTTTTTGAATGTGACAAAACTAGCTATCAAACTATAACTCATGGTTTATTTTGTTTCATTTTGTTTTTGTTATTCAGCAGGCATTTTTTTAATTCCTTTTGCCAAAGTGTTCTAAAAAACAGTCAGTGACCTTGTGGGCCACTGTGTATTGGAACAGGTTTTTGCCTGGACTTGTTTTTAACAGTGTTCAAGAGAGTCCCTTACATCTCAGAACTCAGAGGGATATTTTGTCAGTGTTCATGATGATAAAAGTAAACGTTGTTCCCTGTACACTATAAGAAGCGATAAGTTGGCCAAAAAATGTGGTTTCTTTCTTTATAGACACATTTTTAATTTAACTTCTTTGCTGATTTTTATTATACTTATGTACAATTTGGGGAGGGGGAATTTATTTCTAAATCGTTTTTCATACAATTAAAGCTAAGAAAATAAGTTTTAATATAGTTAACATTAAATATATTTGCGTACTCTGTAACATAAGTCTTGTATTGTAGAGTTACCCAAAGTCAATTCAGTAACACAAATATTTACCTAGATATCTGAAAAATCTCTATTTAATAAGATTGTCAATCTCACAAAATGGGGAAATATATGAATAGTGTCTTTATTCCACTGTTAACCTCCGTCATCAATTGGTTAGAGCAATGGGAACTTCTGGGGAAAACCTTACAGTCCCATAAGCTAGAGATGGCAGAAGAAAGGCAGGGGGACGTGAAATTTCTGACTTCCATCGTTTCTCTAACACTGGAACACCTAGCCCTATTATCTCCTGGCGGAAAAGGCATCAATTTTTTCAACTGTAGGTTGAGGATAAAAGGGCACTGCCTACTGTTAAGCAGTTTATGGGTCTTTTACAACTCGTTGTTTTATTTTGCTTTGATTTCAGATAGTGCATGTACATAGTAGATATTAAATAGATAAATGTGGATGTGCTTTTGAGTGGGTTGAACTTGTTATTGTATCTTCCATGTAATCTTAAAATTTGGTGAAAAAGAAACTAGATATTTTCTTCTTTTGCTTCCCGAAGCAGCTTCCTTTCCTGTAAACCTTGGAACAACCTCTAGAAGCTCACCACTTTTGCTTCCCTACCATTTGTTTCTAGTTGAAGTGAAAACTTGCATTTTATTACGACTTGCTGCCTGGTTTAAATTTTGGGACAATCTGTCTATTCATGCCTTATTAGTCATTTTAAAAGAAGCAGCTCTCAGCCAGGTGCGGTGGTTCATGCCTGTAGTCCTAACACTTTGGGAGCCCTAGGTTGGCAGATCACTTGAGATTAGGAGTTTGAAACCAGCCTGGTCAACACGGTGAAACTTAAAATACAAAAAATTAGCCCGGCATGGTGGCATGCACCTGTAGTCCCAGCTACTCAAGAGGTGGAGGCATGAGGCTCCCTTGAACCCAGGAGGCGGAGGTTGCAGTGAGCCAAGATTGCACCACTTCACTCCAGCCTAGGTGACAGAGCAAGGCTTTGGGTCCTAAATAGTAAAATAAAATAAAAGAGCTCTCTTTCCAGTCAACTAGGATAATCAGTCGTTTTAAACCAATTGGATAAAATTAGGGTAAAATTTAAATATATGGCCAGGACCATGTATTTTAAAACTTGCCTCCAGGTTTGTAAACCATATACTTTACTTGTATCTGCTGGGAATAACTGTTTCATATAAATCTCTACAATTCAGACAGGACATAGAAAAGCTTGTTCTTAGTATAGAACTTCAAGAAGTTTTTGTTTCTCCAACAGGAAGGAAAGAGTCATTGACTTCATAATAAATTGTTTCAACTAAATTGACTAATACTGTTTACAATATAATGTCTACCCCAGTATAATCATAGAGCTCTAACCCCTACAAGAAAAAAATATAAATTTTTTATATGAAACATGAATTTTAACAAGTGACATTTTTTTTCTACATTCAAGTAATCAGTTTCCTAATTCAGATAAATGACAAGTCCTCCTATAGATCTTAAATAGAAAAAGTCATGGAATCACGCTTGATAGGAAATTTTCCAAATCGCTTTCTTATTTCATATAGAAACATCTTGTCTTTGAGATCCTAGTCTGAGTTCAAACAAATATTTTCCTTTTAAAAATGATATCTTTGAAATTTGGGGAATTATCCCTATCAGGAGAGATACCACTGATGTACAGAAAATTATAAGCAAATTTATATAATATAAAACATGAATGTTCCATTAGACTTTAACATTATGCACAAACTGTGTTGGCTTTTAGAAATATAAATAATAGGAAGCAGTCGAGTGAAAACAGTCCAATTGAGCATGTAGAGGCAGCTGTAACCCAAGGGGATATTAAATAGGGCACATGTACAAAGCTGTACATTCTTAGGTAAGAAGAGGATTCTTCCAGCACATAAACATGTTTGGCCCAGGGCAGAGCAAGAGAATGACACACTTGGTCTTTCTCTCATAAACAAAGGTCTTGCTATTTTACCTCCAAAGCAATTTTCTAGGCTATGTTTTTACTATTTTTGAAATGAGAAAGATAGATTTCTGATGTAACCCTGAAAGCAGGAGAACCATTTTTTGCTGCAAGCATAGTGTATTATCAATTTGGTGTGAAGCCTGGAGAGCACTGAAATGATCACTTCTTAGTGCGGAGGGGAGAAAGTTCTGAGTTTGCACAAAGTAGTACTGTTTTCATTGTTTATAGAAGATGATCAAAAATGCATACATTTCAGGAAAAACATGGAAACAGAAATCGATGTTTTATTTTATTCTATGTTACTTCAGCTGGATATTTTCAGCCATTTTCAGAATGGTTTATATTATTAATTTTATATTCATAAAATCATTGACCTTAAGAAGCTTTGCTCTAATAGAAACTTCATTCTGTTTTTCCATCCAATCAGATAAAGAATCAATCTAGTGAGTCAGCAAGCAACTAGCAGGGGTCTGTGCTATCCCAGATAAACTCTAGGTATGATTCCTAAACAATGCAATTTTACTATACAAAGGAGGTAATACAAAAGAGCCTGAGGATATTGGCAAGCATGTAAGTCTATGCAAATTATGTAAGTTCCATCTATTTTAAAGTGCTGTATTGTGTGATATAAATGTATAACCATATGTTACAAAACCAAAATCAGGACCCATGTTCCAATAAATTATTTTTGTGCCATTATTGGATATGAGAAACTGGGAAAGGTAGTTTAAGTGCTGTAATGATGGAGTTTTTAGGATATTTTAATGGTTTATGGGGACAGCAAACAGATATTCGAAATTAGTTTTGTCTCCAAAAACCCGAGATAAAAACTTATTTGGAAACTCAGATATAAAAAAGAAAAATAAAAACCAGACTATTACTTAGATCTTTGTATTGATAGACTATTGGAAGAGATTTGTTCTTCTTCTTCTCTATGTTAGTAAAAAAAAATTACCCTGGATAAATATTTGAGAAACTGTATGTTGAAAATAATTTAACATGATTTTTTGTATATATTAAGCTTGATTTTGCTAGCAGATTAAATTTTGGTAAACAGAAAATATAAGTTGTTTCAGGTTACAAAAGTGAAACGTTTAAATAAACAGAATCAATACAAATTTTGGCACATTTGTAGGATTATGAGAGGGTGAAACTATTTGAGCAAAAAGTACATATTATAGATGAGTGGGCATGAAGAACCATCAGCAAAATAAAGCCAGGATTATGGAAGGCTTGGAAAACCAGACAGTCTAGGCATGTTGGATTATTTGGATTATTTAGATACTCCTATTGCAGTAAGGCATAGAGTCAAATATAAAGTTGTCATGACTTTATATTTCTTTAAAGATGTACTAATGATGGATAGGTATACTTAGTTATGACTATACTTTGATACTGTTCTAAAATTTGATATCTTACTTTTCTAATGATTTAACTCATAGAAACTACTACTTTTCCTTCTCCTCCTCCTCCCTCTCTGTCGCTGCATCTGTATTTCCACACACACATGTATATACACACACATATATGGTGGTCAATTAAATTTGACTGAATATAAGAAAATGAATTAATGACCAAGTGCAGTAGCTCACTCCTGAAATCCCACCTCTTTCAGAGGCCAGGTGAGGTGATCACTTGAGGCCAGGAGTTTGAAACCAGCCTGGGCAACATAGTGAAACCTTGTCTTTACAAAGAGTTAAGAATTAGCTGGGTGTGGTGGCAATGCCTGTATTCAGGATGCTGAGGCAGGAGGATCGCTTGGGCCCAGGAGTTCAAGGCTGTAGTGAGCTGTGGTTGCCCTACTGCATTCCAGTCTAGGCGACAGAGCAGAGACTCTGTCTGAAAAAAAAAAAAAAAAAAAAGAAAGAAGAAAAAAAATGTTGTACTATTTTTTATTTTTCCTATGATACTATAATTTTCTGCTTTGCTGTTATCATCTGAAAATGTTTTTGAGTTATTGTACAGAAACAAATACCATCCTAAGAATTGGAAGATGGTGAAGGAAACTAGTATGTATGAAGCAAAAGCTACTTGACGATCACTGATCTGGATGACTTAAATGCACACATCAATTCAACCTTCTAACCAACTACGGGAATGAATATCCCCATTCTACAAATGAGAATATCGAAAACCAAAAGAGGTTCATCAACTTTCTCGAGAGCACACAGCAGGAAAATATCAGAGGCCAATTTGAATCCAGATCTGTCTGGCTCCAAAACCCATACTCTTCTATCTGTATAATTCTTTACTCAAGATACTGCCACCATAGGGTCAGTGGCCTAGAAGATTAAAACTGCATTGATCTTTTCAATCCCACATCTGTTTGAAAAAATTCAACGAAGTGTCTTTTTGTTTCACCTTTCAATTATGGACTATAAAACAGTCACTTGTCAATTGATTTACTGGGGAAAAAAAAACTATTAGAATCTTTCTTTGTACATAAAAAGCCTTAAGATACATCAGAAATCTTAGATTCCATGACTACTGTTTGTAGTGAGCAGAGAATATAAAACTACAGGCAGTTTTTCTGATAATAAAAGTGAAGGCAATGTTTCTGGAATTAAAAAAAATAAGAAGAGTTAGCAAAATAGAATTGGTTTTCTTTTTTCTGTGCTTCTCTGTCATCCACATTTAGTGCTATTTCTATCTGAATAGTGGAAAGTACAAATGAAAAGTCACAGTCTAATCACATGCTGGCCTTATAACATGTTACCCCAGCCAATTTCCTGTAAAATATATGCTTCCCTCATTCACTTTGCCCCTGTCTATGTATCAGCCACTCCTTTACCTGATAGTTTATCAAGGAAAAGTTAAGCTTTTCAGAGCTCTTTTGTTCTACGCAGTAATTATCCTTCTTACCTCATTCACTTACCCCAATTGCTTCTGTTCCTTTTGTTAGAGAAATAATATCAACTAGCTTGTCCTACATGGGAGGACCTGCTTGAAGCACATTGCAAGTTCTGACTTACATATTCCTCGTACTTAACCCTATGAGGCTAGTTCTCTTATCATCCCTTCTTTACCTATGTGGCTTCTGCAGCATGAAATGGTTATGGAGTAGGGATCTGAACCCATACACTGTGACTAGAGGCCACATACTTAACCCCTGCATTGTGCCATTCAATGCCAAGAAGGAATTTAAATTGTTCTGCCTTATTTTTATTAGTAAAATGTGGATATTTTCTAACTTTCAGAATCATCAGGATTAAATTACATCATTTATTAAGGGGATTATCATAGTATCTGACACAAAGTATTTTCTCAATAGTTATTATATATTCTATATAATTCTATATATTAAGTTTACTTATATATTTAATACAAGGAAACTATAACATATATTAATATAATTATTATCTTATTCATCATTGTGATTTACCTGTCTCCTATTATGGATATCTTTTGGACAGGATCTTACTTACTTTGTGCTCAAAATGCCCAGTACAGCATCTAAAACTTAACAGCTAGTTAACACATATTTGTTGAGCCAATAAGAAATATACAAATTACCTGAGTAGTGTCATGTGTTTCAAAAGCTTGTTTTGCAATTACTTTGTACTTTCCATGTCATAAATAAACCTTTGTGGAAAGAAAGAATTTTGACTCCCATTTAACTTTCTTAAAATGGAATATGCCATGTGTTCTATAATAAGGGATGAAGAATGGTAAATTTTGATCATGAAATTGAGAATTGCTGAAAGTCAGTGAACATATAAAAATGTTCCTGTTGACATTTTCTACAATAGATCTCCCTGACAGTACAACCTTTAGAGACTTTCACAAATATAAAGCCTGGATATTTATTTCACAATGACTGCCAGAAAATGTATATTTTGTCAAAATGAAATATAAACTGCAGTAATGTTTTTCCTGAGAGTATATTAATCCAAGGAAGCTACTATCACATGATTGACTATATTTTTAAAATCCTGATATACTGGTAGCTCAACATTTAGTACATATAAATTCAACTTCAAATAATCATGTACTATATTATAAATGGCATATATAACTGATAATTGTCTAAAGCAAAGGCAGTCTTATTAGTTTGTAAATCTACAGTAAAATCAATGAAAAGGGGCCTGCGAAAGAGATTGTTATGGTGGCACAATATTGAAATTAGCAAACAAATTTAAAACCACCTGATTTTTTTTCCTATTCTGATTTTTCCCCTCAGTCACAGTCTCATTCAAGTCTAGAATTTCTCTTTAATGTACTGTTTCATCCTATTATTCATCCAATTTCTTAATTATCTTGTTCTCTTCAGTGTTCTATAGTGGAAATAGCATGTATTAGTTTGTACAATAATTTAACAAATATTTGAGTGCCCACTAAGTAGCTGGACTTTGAAATAAGACATTCATGGACCACATAGCAGCAATGTTATTATAAGGGATTTGTCTTGGGTAAGACCTGTCTTTCTCTTTCTTCCCTCTCTTACCTCATTGCCCTCCCTCACTCCCTCTCAAATATTCTTACATGAACAACAAACACGTACAATAAGCAATCATTTTACAGAGCATATTTGAACAATTTTAGTACTTTGAACAAAACAGCATGATTAATAATCATCTTTCTTAAAAGTGAACTTTAAAGAACCTATTGAAACCCAGGAAACACACATAAGAGACTCTATTTCACAGATAATGAACCGATATTTATAGTTAATCACATCTTTTAATGTGAATCTCTCTATTTGAATGTAAGGCATTAGAACATATAAAAAAAAATGGGCCTACTAATAAACACTTGATGTCCTAAAATAAGTATTTTCTCCCTTTTTTTTCCTAAGCAGTGTTCAGCTTGATAATGAATACATGATTGGTGCAACCTTAGCATCCTCTTCTTACCATCAGGGATATCTTTGAATATGTAGAGAAATATATGCTGATTAAGAATACAACACGAAGTACATACTATTTTTAAAAAATAGGATTAGATGAACCGGGCAGGTGATTATAACTCTGCAACATGACTTGTTTTATAGCCTCTAGTACAAGGGCTGGTTTTTCTGCACAATCTAGGCCATTCAAAGAATGGATGTATAGGAATTTCAAAAGACTGCTACAGTAAAACGACAGATCAAATGACTTAATCTAAATATTAAAACACCATTAGAGATATAAGAATAGATCTTATCAAGAAAGATCTGGAACTACCAAGTAAGGGGTTGAGGAAGGAGTAGGAGGAGCAAATTGCCATAATACAAGCAGGTCTGCACAAGTGAAAGTGATGAAATATGGGATCCAAAGAATCAGTGGAAGAACATGGCATGCATCCTGCAATATGGTAACATGCAAAGAAAAAGTAAGATGTATTACTCTTCCTATATGCTTAGTCTTTACCCCTCTATTTTACCATATGCTAACTACTGTTGAGGGCTTGCCTACTCACTCCTGTGGTCAGAGTCAGCACCACATAAGATGGGCTATAATATGAGTTTGAGGGATGGCTAGGAAAGATTCTCTGATTTAAAACATCTCTGCTGAGACCCTGTCTTCAGTGATTCAATTCTTTGGGTTATTAAGCAAACTGCATTAGCATACAATACAGTTGGAATGGTTAGCATGTAATAATAATGCAAACTAACATTTGTACAACTTTCCAATTACAAAGTACTTTCTCATTTTTCATATTAATACAGTAGATCTAGATTATTTTTCACTTTGTAGATGAGACAAGAGTCCAGA